GCTGTCTGATCCCTTCAGGAACTGCGTTGGACGATGGAGGACGGAGTGAGAATTTCCACTGGCAAATGGAAAGTCTCTTCCCAGCTGTCCCAGTAAACCAGAGCTCAGCCTCCGCCTCCCCACTCAGCCTCCTCCTCCCCACTCAGCATTCCACAATAAACGTCTTTCTTCCCCGTGCACTTCCACGTAGACTTCACGTTTTTGTGCTTGGATATGAGATGTATTTCTTGTAGTGAAGTTGTTTTGTAAAGATCTACTTTGTATAAATCCTAATTATATTATTTTTCTATGTATCTTAAATGTGTATGATGGTCTAATCTTTGAAGGATTTTGAGCTCGGTGCTGGCAGCGCACAGGTGCAGTCCGTGGTGTGAATATCATGGTGGATTTGACAGGATCTAGAGCTGGTCTGGGGGCCACTGGGGCTGAGAACTCTGAAGCCGAGGACAGTGCAGGTGGCAGTCGGCTTGGGAGGGCTGGTGCGGCCCACCCAGGACTGTCCAGGACCAAGTGCAGGGACAGCGCTGTCAACCATGTGTAGTTAGTTCCCTTTTAAAAGAGCAATTAACTGCTGTGGAATAGGATTTCTCCTTTATCATGTAAAACAAATACCTCCTAAGTACACTTGGGCCGGCCACTTCTGTTAGTAGTGGGCACGTCAGAGTTTAGAAAGGGGAGCGGTGCCCAGGGTGGGGCGCTTGTGGAGGCCTACAGGTCCTGGCAGCTCAGAGGGAAAGGGGAGCTGTGCGTCCAAACGCCTGGGCGGGGCCAGCACCCGCTCTGGGCTAGTCTTGCCCATCGTGCTTTCTGTGCCCTCTGGAGCTCCCCTGTCGTTTTAAAGTGGTCCCAGATGCATCAGTGGGAGCTTCGCAGCATGTGTCCCTGAGAACTGGCAGCACAGTAAGCACTCCATCTCCACCCAAGTCAGGCAGTGTTTGTATGTTGATCACAGCACTAAATTGCTAATGAGGATGTTCTGAATTCAGGCCGGCTGATGGCAGGTCTGTCGGGCTTTGATGCTTCTGAAAATATTGATTACGTCTCAATTTTTCTGTTCCTATTTCTACTACCTTAGTTCAAGTCCTTAGATCCTGAATATTAGAGAAGCCCTAAAAAGCTTTCAAGAGGGGCTGGGGTGTGGGCTCAGCGATAGAGTGCTCACCTAGTGTGT